CCGACTTGGCCGAGCAACAAAAAGCTTTCCCCCGCTGCCAAACCCCTTTAAACACGATCTGAGAATCGGCCCAGAAGGTGGTGCCAGGGCCAGACAAGCGAAGGGCCATGAGGAAGCCCCAGAGCTCACAGGCACTGATGTCATACATACCCGCAGGGAGGCCACCAGCGACGACCGCGGCCGCGGTGGGCCGATCGCCCTGAAGAGCGACACAGGCCCAGGCGAGGGACTGGGCAGCGGGGGGGGGCTCTCCGTCGAGGAGGCTCCCGTCGAGAAAGACACCCCCGCCCAGCATGCTGGGGTCTCCTTTCACCCAGACCTCCGCGGGAGGAGGAGGCGAGTGGGGAGGGGGGGCAGGCAGCGGCGCCAGCAGCCTCTCAGCGAGGAGGCGGACGGGGGGGCTGTCGCTGGCACGGAGGAGGGAGGCGGCCACGGGCGGGGTTTCGAGACCGAAGACCTGCTCGTGACCAGGGCACGCGGGGTGCCTGCGCAGTAGAGTGCCAGGCGCCTCGAGACAAACCTGGCGCACTGTCGATTCAGAGAGCCTGCGCTCCGCTCGCCGCGCCTGCGGCCACTGACCTCCCGAGACGACGGAGACGATGTAAGCTTTTTCCTGGGCAGTGAGCGCTCGCATGCCCGAAAAAAATAGGGGCCAGGAAGGGCCCGCGCTGAAAGGCAGGCTGGTCGAGATGCTCGGCTACTCTGTGCCAGCACCAAGCACCCACGACGCGCGTCAGCGCAAGCACGATCGTGCGAGGACACAGCTCCGTCAGCGAAAAATAGCCGACGACAGGATGGAACCATCGTAGGCCGTCGATGCTGATGCCCAGCCTCTTGGCCGTGGCCACGCACGCGGGGAAGGGTCCACGGATGGTTTTCCAGTGCGAGGAGTGCCCTTCCAGGGCGCGGCAGGCCCCTTGGAGGCCAGCCACGACGATGCCTCGCGGGACCCAGGGCTCCCAGACCGCAGTGGCGAGGTGGAGGAGGGGCGCGATATTCAAAGCGTACGCGGGGTCGAGCTGCCGAACCCCTAACATCTGCAAAAGTAGGGTGAGGCTGCGCCCGTGCAGGCGCTGACATTGAACGCTGGCCTGCAAAAGTCTCGCCTGTCGAAGCTCGGTCTCCGAACTGCCCGTCACCCCCGGCCCGTATGCGGTGGAGGCCTGCACGACAGCTCGGACCATGTGATGTGCGACGCGCTTGCGTAGCTTGCTGGCAATAGCAGCTATCCTGCGTTGTCGAGCGGCGGCGGCGACCCTGCGACCGCGCTTGGTGGATCGCTTGATGACCCCACCAGCCGCGCAGTCCACCCCCAAGTTGCGTTCCGACTGAACGGCAAGAACCCGACCAGAGCTGAGAGCCACGGCGAGCTCATGCCTGAGTCTGGGGGTGGACGCGAGCACTCTACTCTTCTGCCTGCGAACTGGCAGGTGAATCTTCTCTAACCCATGATGCAGCATGATGGTAGCGCTGGCTAACTCACTCTTGACAGATTGATGTGAGCCAACCTTGTGAAGCCCGAAATCGTCTACAACAACTCCTAACTGCACTTCCTGACGGGCACGCGGAACAAAGGCAGCCTGGACGGTGTCGAGCGGACAAAGGAGCACCATCTGCAGGCAAAGCGTGGCGAACTGGCAGCCAGCGAGCACAGCCTGCTGGGTGACGATGGGCTGCGAGCTGACGCCAGAATACTCGAGCACACGCGGCGAACGATACAAGTCGATGAGCAGCCGGAGCTGTCTCAGGGGAAAGCCAGTCTTCCGAGCGGCGTCTAGCAGCACGTCATGCCTGACACTTTCAAAAGCTTTGCGGAGATCGAGCAGGACGTTTCTTGCGCACAACTTTTGGCTGACAGCCCATTCCGATGAGGCAGCCTGGGCCCACGCGAGCCGCTCCGGCCCCCTCCCCGACGTCGACCACCAAAAGCTCCGAAAGTTGCTCTGCTGCCACTTCAGAAGTAGGGGCCTTCGAAGACGTGCCTGCACATGCGCTAGCACGTGTAGCAATGCAATGGGGCGCAGCCCACCCGTGCGCTTGGTTAAAAGCACGAGTTTGCTCCAGCAGCTGGGCCAGGCCAGCTTGCTCTCGATGCGGAGGATGAGGAGGCAGAGGGGGGCGAGGCCGTCGTCACAGAGGTCGAGGAGCTGGCGAGGTCTGATCTGATCGAACCCCGTGCCTGAGGATGCCTTGAAAGTCTTCAGGCAGGCACGGAGATCCTCAACCGAAAAATCTGGCAGCGGCGGCCCCATGTCGGCTGGCCAGTCTAGCGGGGTCTCCTCATCCCCCACTCTCCAGAACGAACTCCACTCCTCCACTAAAAGTTGCATCTCCTGCTGCAGAGAGGCTGGGGCAGGTCTAGCCTCGCCAGCAGCGCTGAAGGAGGGGCTGGAGTACCAGGGCGTCGGGGGCTTGCTGACCGCAAACAGGGCGCGGCCTCCAGCGTTGCTGTGCTTGCGGGCCCAAGTCCTCCATTCTTGGTCCCGCTTGCGCTCGGCATCGCGCTGCAACGCAGTGGCCAGGTCACGGGCCTCTGAGCACAGGACGGATGCGAGCGACCAGTCGATGCACATGGCGCCGTGCAGTAGGGCGCGCCATGCGCCAACGTGTCGAGTAGGAAGCCGATTCGAGGCTGCAGCCTGCTGCCGCGCTGCCGCGAGCGTGGCAGCTCTGTCATTGGCCGTTTGAAACTTAGCAAGATCGCCCAAGATCTGAACCAGCCCTCGGAACCAGACGGCGAGCGCCGAGGTGCGAGGGAACAAGGGGGAGCGAGGCGCAGGCGCGCCTGCTCTGCACGGAAAGCGGCACGCTACGGCCCACGTAGCGCTCGGCCTCGTCGTCGGGGATCTGGTAGATCTCGAGAAACTCCTGCTCCATGACCGTGACGAACTGCCTCCATGCTGCCTCGACGTCAGGCTGCCGACGGAGGAGAGCCAGCACGGGGTCCCAGAGCTGGCTGGGCGGATAGCAACCTGCTGGCAATTCTCGTGGGAACTGCCCGGGGACTCTGACGTGCGGGAGCTGCGGGGTCTGGTTCAAGCCCTGCAGCGTGAGCTTGACTGGCTTGTGGTCCTGCGTGCCCACGCCGTTGAGCACACTGACGACGGCGTCGTAGTGCAGGCCATGCGATACCACGTAGGAGTCCAAGACCCGTGGCGTCTCACCTCTGGTGCAGGTGGCGACGACGGGCGCGAGCACCGTAGCCTGGAGCGACTCCGTCCAGCCCGTGCCCTGCAGCTCCTGGGGGGTGATGTTCCAGTCGCCCGTGACCACGAAGGGCAGCCCGTAGCGATAGAGAATGCCGCCGATGCGGGTGAGGAGCTGCCAATTCAACTGCGACACGCCTTGCGAGTCGTGGAGGTGCACGTTGACCCAGAGCACACCCCCTGGGCAGATGGCTGAGAGATGCGAAATGCCGACTCTGGCCTTCTCGATGCAGAACTCTTGATCGGGAAGCTCTGCCATGCCAATGCGCCTGTGCACCATCTGGAGCAGGCCGCCCGTAGTGCCTCCTCGAGCTGTGACGGCTGCTGGCAGCCCCTTAGCTGCCCATCCTAGCATGCGGAGTCGGGCTTCCCATGCTTCTACTTGCGCCAGGTGGTGTTCCTGGACGCACACTGCGATATAAACAAGCACTGGTTGCGATTCGAGAAGACATTCGAGACCTAGCCTGCCCGAGACATTGGCCGTGACGAAGTCTCACGATCTGTAGCTAAAGCGACGATCTTTCAGTACGAGCCCGCTTGGCTTGGTGCTCCTGCATGTACCGCATGAGCTCATTGAAGGTAGACAAGGAAATGTGTTCTGCCTTGCGCCGAGCACTGTCTCCGCCGTCGTCGGCGCCGTCCTCGTCGACGGGCGTGTCCTGGGCGGCGCAGAACTCTTTGTAGAACTGGTTGTTAGGATCCGTGAAGATGGACCAGTCGGGAGGCTGAGGAGAAGCAGCATGAGCAGATGCAGCACCCGCGGCGGCCCGCCCCGCTGGCTGCTGTCCCGTGGCCTCTGCGGGCGCCGCATCCGCGCCTGGCTCCCCAGTGGCCTGGGCAGGCGGTGGGGGGAGCTCGGCGCGGATGGACTCCGCAAGCTCACGGAGCTGCTTCGCCTCGTCTGGCACGGCTGTGTCCAGAGATGCCGCCATCGCCTCTAGCTGCGCCAGCTGGTCAGGGACGGGCACCTGGGACACGCCAGCCATGGCGCTGTAGGCCTCTGCGGCCTTGGCGGCGGCGGCGGCTGCCTGCTTCTTGAGATCCTCGAGCTGGTCGCGACACTTCGCCATGTGCTGCGTGGCCTTGACTGCGGCGTCCTGAGCACGGTCGAAGCGCGACTGGGCCTGCTCGACCTGCTGTCGGAGCGAGTCTGTGGCCTGACGCGCGGCCTTGGCGGTGGAGGTGGGGGCGCCAGCGACAAGGGCACGCTCTGCCGCCACGCGGTTGACCTGCTTGGCGGGCCAGCCCTCGGAGAGCTGCTTGAAGTCGGCCTCGGGCATGCGCGCGTAGACGGCGACGAGCTCCTCCGTGAGAGCGGCCTGCTGCGACTGCTTTGGCGTGCTGGGCGGTGGGCCCTTGCGCCAGACTCCTTGGACGGGCGCGGCGCGTCCGTTGCCACCTGGGGAGGGACCCTTGGGGGCGTGTCCACAGATGCGACAAGCAGTGCGCCATGAGAAATTGCCTCGGTAACCGCAGCGCTTGCTGGGGCAGGTCCAGCAAGAGAAACCATCCATTGTACGCAACAGAAATACGAGTAGCCCGCAGCCGTGAGGGATGAAACCTCAGTACTGTACGCGGACTCCTTGAGACCGTTGAAAGCTGTTGGGGCCGCAAATCCCCTTGCCACAAAACTCAGCCCACTTGAACAATGCCTCCGGACTTGAGCCAAAATGGCTACGGACCCCTCCTCCTCCTCCTCCTCCTCCTCCTCCTCCTCCTCCTCCTCCTCCTCCCCCTTCCCCCCTAGGCCGCCCCGTGGGAGAGGGGGGGGGAGCTCCGGCGCTCTCGCCGAAGGACCGCTGGTTCTCCCTGGTGCAGATGCGGATCATGACCGGCAGGACCCCGATCATGGGCTCGTCCGCGCCGCCCCCCCCCCTCCGCTAATTCTCAGGAGGTGATAAAACACACAGACACAAGTGATCGTCGACTCCCACAAAATATGGGAGAAGATGGGAAGTGGGGGGGAAGACGAAAACCTAGAAAAGATGTGAACATATGGGAACACTCGCGCTGAAGGGCCCGCTCGTCATCGCGGCCTGCGGGACGCGCTGGGAAATTCCAGTGGTCAGCGCCACCGCGGCCGCGCCAGTCGCTCCAGACTAGGCGACCGCTCTGCGCTGGAGCCTTCGCGCGCTAGCGCGGCCGCAGCGAAGCGGCAGCCTGTGCCAAGCAGCCATCGCAATCGCCGCCGATGGGTTTTGCAAACCAAGTTGCGCGAGAGCGGGTAGGGTGATTGCGCGAGCAGTGGAGTTGCCAACTTTCATTTCGGCAATGCGAACTGCACCTCAAACGTATTGTTCCACGCATACTGCGCAACATAGAGATACTAGAAGCACATTGTTTGCAACACGCGCTGGCCATCATTATCCAGTCTCGGTTCAAAGGATCCGCGTGCCATCGATGTCACCACGAGCATGCCCACCACCCCACCGAGCCCCACAGAACCCTCCGAGGCTTGTGTGGCCAACACAAAATCAAGTGGGCACGGGTTCGCCACCGAGCCGGGGGTCAGCCACGCCGCGCAGAAGAGCCCAAGCGCCGATCCCGCCGCCCCGACCCCGGTAAGGAATCCAGCCTCCTTCCTTCCACTGGTGAGCAGCGACGCGGCGCGCTGGCCCGTCCAAGTCATGGTTCAACCGACGTCGTCAACACCAGCATCCCCATCTTTGGCTGCGAAGGTGGAGAGCAGCTGAGCGCCCAACTCCGAAGACAAAATCCAACCACTGGCTCTTGTGGCCCTGGGCCCATTTTCAACAGCTCCGCCCGGGGACCGAGGTGGCCACCCCTGTGCTGCGGCGCAGCGCCGCAGCCGCCGAAGCTCAGGCTGCGCGCGTGGACGGGTCGGTCTACCGGTTCAGCACCACGGAGGGTGCGCGCCGCCATAACACCGCGCAGGTCCCTGGCATCGCTCGGACGTGTGCATTTTTCCTTCGGCGAGGACCATCGAGGAGCATCCTTGATCATCTGGCGAGAAAAAACACGCACAAAACCGACAAAAAAACACAGGGAATGGACGTCCGAGCGATGGCCAGACGGAGGGTGCGCGCCGCCACAACACCGCGCAAGTCACGCTTCACCCGTCCTTCAATGCTGTTCGGATCCGAGACACCTTTCACGAGGCGGAAGTCATCGCCACCACCACCACCTTCAAGAGATGTTCACCGGGCAGTTCTTTGGAGCAGTTCCAGCCTAGAGTGCTCGCAGAGAGCCCCCGTGGGGGACAGCACCGCCAAGCAGGCAAGCCGCAAGCGTCACCAGGCTAACTCGCATGACGAGGCCAGGCGCGAGCTGGACGAGGCCCTCCTCGACGCGCGCAAAGCCGATTTTCAAAACCACGCCGCCACCGTGGCGATCCGCGAGCAACACATCAACGTTGGCCGCCGCGGAGCGTCCGCAGGCATACCCAATTTTACAGCGGCCCGAGCTGGTCCCAGCCCCGAGGGCGGCCCACAGCAGACCTCTCTCTGTCAATTCCATGTTGGCAGCATGCGCAGGAAGACGTGAGCGGCTTCGAAGACGACGGGTGGGCAGACCAGTGCCACGCGGGCCATCACCTCCATGGCACGGCGGATGCCGCCGAACAACCCCTCTGTGATGTCGCATCCACCTGCGCCAACCTCGGCGCCACCGGCACACAGCTGCGGGCAGGGCGTCAAGGACTAAGGGCTCATCAAGTCCACCCATGACCTCCAGGGGTAGATGCGTGACCTCTTGGGCCAGCAACCCAACCTGTCCCAGAGCAACACCACGCTCAACGCTAGTACGCAGCAGCTCCTCCAAAACCTCTACACCGCATGGGCGCTGGCCCCCGCGACGCCTCCAGGAGACCAGCGGTCCTTTCAGGACATCGCCGCGCACCTCGAGGCCGCCACCCCGGCGCCCCCAGCGGCCCAAGCGGCCCCAGAGTGGCATGCGCCGCTGGCCCTCCGTCGGCGCCAGCGGCGCACGCACTGCCCCCAACGACCACAGTGCTGGCTGCCGCCGTGCGGCGCGATGTCGACCTTGCTGCTGATCATCTTCAGGCTGGAACGCCAGCCACGCCATTGCGCCCAGCTGCCAAACCGCGCCAGGGGTGGGGGATGGCGGTGAGAAGGGGAAGGAGGACGCCGAGGAGGCGGTGGTACAGGAGAAGATTGAAAAGGATGAGGACGATGAAAGCGCATGATGATGGCGATGAAGAGGAAGAAGGGTAAGAGTAATCTGAAAACGACAACGACGATGCTGGGAGTGATGGGGGGGAAAAAACGGCGGACGTGCGTGGAATGCACAAGAGTGGGAGTGGCAGCGTGGGGAAGGAGGTGGGGAGGATGTGGAGGGAGGATGAGGGTGTTGAGAGGAGGGTGGATGAGAAGGATAATGGGGAGGGGAGGAGGGGGGAGGTGAACAGAGGGTGAGGAGGAGTAGGTAGCAGGTAAAGCGCTTCAAGGTAGTTCCCAATGAGAAGAATATTAGTTGAAATATTTATTGATGAAGTCTTCAATATTCAGAATTCAGATTATGTTGAAATGTTCTGATTAGTTTGACGGCCAGCGAAGGGGACCCCAGAATGAGCAGATGTGCTTGTGCAAGCACCCGGTCTGACGGACTGACAATTTTGCCGAACGGGGAACCATGGTGTCCGACCACACATGCGCTTCGACAGGGCGTTCCTTCTTGCATTCGGGGTCCAATGGGAAAGACACGCTCGAGACCCGAAGGAGTGGAAGGCTGAATGGCGAGTTCATTGCAAATCCCTGCTCGAACCTCAGCTCAGGGAGGCAGGAGATTGCTATGCCCCAACACCAGAGCGTCCAGCAATGGGCTCCTCTCATACGGTTGGGGGTTGGTCCACGGCTTGAGTGTAGGACGCCTCTTTTCGTCCTCGGATACGGCACGCTTGCCAACGGCGGGCGTGAACATCGGCATGGTTCGTTGGTCTCAAAGGGTGTAGGTAGCGATTGAAATGCAGACCGTGCAAGACAGGTGTTACGAGCTGTGCAGGTTGCTTTAGCCATACACTGGGATCGTCCTGCTCCCGCATGAACACAGTGGAGTCTCGCTGATGGCCGCACGTAACACAACACAGAAGCCGATGCGTTTGCAGGGCAAGGTGTCATGCTGGGCCAGCCCAGGATCGGCACCGGAGCATGCGAGAGTCCAACCACGAAGTACATCCGCTGCCAGTCTGTTCGGTTCTGTTGGAGTTGGAGGATGCATTATTCATTATGGGCGCTCTCTGGAGCAACCAGTGGATACGGTTTGGGGACATTGCGTGTGAAACGATGCCCACGTCTCAAGCGTGCTATCTTCTGCGATGTTGGGAATTCCACGACGCCCCTCTGAGCGCGACAGCTGAGAGGATCGGTAGAGAGCGTGACGCAAGGTAGAGTATGTTTTTCTGCGCAGCAGCGTGCCACAGTTTTTGATGCCAAGAAAGCGTTCGGCCAGCAAAAATGTGTTTGAAAGCCAGAGGGACAGGATGAGGACGATGAAGAGGATGAGGAATCGGAATGGAATCAATGACGTGGCCTCATGGAAGGGGGATGAAGACAAGAAGCGAGGATGAGGAGGATCATTGTGATGATTGTGATGATGGGGAGGAAGATGAGCTGTTCGCTGCGAGGGATTGCTTCAATCACGGGGTCGGCGACGCAGCGAGCCTGGTATCCAGCGCGGTCGAACAGTTCACAGATCCTCCTCGCTCCCTCCATTTTTTGCCGAGGACGCACCAGATCCGGGTCCACATGGCTTTCCTGGGGCACCCGCTCGTGTGCGACGAGAAGTACAACCCGTCGAGCGTGGAGCAGGCCGCTCCCCGGTCCCGATGCAGCATCTGGATTTGCACACTTCACGTGCACACCGACACTGCAGATGCTGATCCGGTGGTTGGCAGAGCTCCTGCCCTGACACGTCGATCGATTCGCGGATTGGCCGTATTCGGTGCGCGGGAGGGCGTCGCGGCCGTCCTTCTTGCGGGTCCAGGCCCGTCGGTTTCGGTCCTGGGCCGTTTTCACCAAAGGGCGGTTTGCTAGAGGGAGGTTTATCCACCGCCGATTGATGAGCAGCTATGTTGGCAGAGCTCTACCAAAATTAGATTCGCCTTCGTTGGCAGTCAACAGCCGCCTGGTACTGCTGCTGGCACCCCTGCCGCATGAATCGAGGGGCCTGGGCTCGTGGGTGTGTCATGATCGTCATGCTATGTGGAAACATTTCGGCCTTCTTTGAGCCCTCTATGATCCGATGCGCTTGTTTGACTATAGAATCGCCTTCGGCCCATCCCGCCACCGTGCCTGGACTGTGGGTGGAAAGCCTACTGGATGTTCGTTGGGATCTCGTGGGGGGCCTCTCGGGGGCCTCCTGGACGCAGTTTTAAGGCATCTTAGGGGGCTGTTTGGGGCCCCCTAAAGGCATCTTGGGGGCTGTTTGGGGGCCTCTTCTGGGCCTCCTGGGGGCCTCTTGGGGCCTCCTGGTGGTTCCTCGGGGCCTCTTGGAACCTCCTGGGTGCCTCTTGGGGCGGAAGACTCGGATTTTCGGTTTGTGTTCTCTCTCTTGGGCACCTTGTGGGGCCGTTTTGGGGCCCTCTTGGGCCATCCTGGACGCTTCTTCGGCCGTTTTGGGGCGCTCCGTCTTGGGGCCCTCTTGGGCAGTGTTGGAGCGTCGGAACGCCGAAGTGGCGAGAACCCTACAATCTTAAAATACCGCCGTGTGAACCAACCGTTTGAATCAATTAGATTCAGTCACCTGGCGGGACATTAATGATTCGTGCCTCTCGGGGCCCTCTCGGGAGGCCTTTTGGAGGCCTCTTGGGCCATCTTGAGGTCATTTCGGGCGTCTTGGAGCGATCGTTCGGCGACTCGGGGCCTCTTCGACTCATGCAAGGGTTCGGGAGGTCGTTTTGGGGCGGCACAGAGTTCACAGGAGGCGCAGGAATCACCTCAGAACTCACGGGGCCTAGCGCGGAAAACCCCGGGACAAGATTGGTCCGGGCCCTTCAAGTCTTACAACTTTTGCTGAAGCAGTAGTACAGCGTCTGCCTCTCAATGGTGCATGAGCCTCGGGCCATTCCACTTCGTGCCAGAGGCGGATCTTGGAGCCTGCCTGGGGCATGGTTTCTTTAGGGCGACGGGATCTATACATATCCACTGCTCCCTGGCCTCGCCCATCCTGAGCCCAGCAATTGTGTAGACGCCCTCCTGGCCAAGCCAGGGCGTAGCGTACACACCGCCGGCGGGTTCAGGATGGGCGTGGCCAGGGAGGAGTGGACATGTGTAGATCTCGTCGCCCTCTTCTTGGGGCCCTGACGGGCTCGTGGCCCCCGTGCTGAGGGGCTCGGGGCTCCCCTGCGACGCCGCAGGCGGGCGAGGCGACGCCGCGCGAGTTCCTGCACTATCCTGGGCCCCGGTTTCGGCAGCAGGGACGGCTGCCCGCCGTCCAGAGCGTGCCCGGGGGTTGTCCCGGTGCTGTCCTGCAGCTGTCCCGGGGCGTGCCCGAGGGTGTCCCGCGGATGCTTTGTGGTTGGCCAGTGGTTGTCTTCTGGCTGTCTCGTGGCTCCGTCGTGGGCGGGCCGCGGCTGTCGACCGATCTGATAATGATAAATTCATAGATCGCAGATTCGATCCGATGCAAATCGCAAACCGAACTTTGCACCCCATCACCCCTAAACTCCTTTCTCGCCCGAAGGGTGGTCCTTTACGCACTGTTGTATCAGAGCCTCTCGTGATTGTTTTGGTCATATAAAGCTTCCAAGCTTCCAATGTGGCCACTTGGACGGATAGTGACAACCCTGATTCTCCTGTCAGCTTCGGACCGAGGATCTGTTACATTCCAATAGTGTTGGCTCCCCTTGTCTTTCCGCCGCACCGCCCAACAGTTTCCTCCTTGCTACCCCCCCGCCCCCATCTCTTCTTCTTGCCACTGCTGCCGCGCACCCTGCTGCATGCTGTTTCGCTGCCCGGTCCATGCCGCTGGTGTTGCTGCCATTGTCGATACTGCTCCCCGCCCCAACGTGGCACACGCCTTACACGCTTCGTACCCAATGTGGGGGCCCCTGCTACGGCCGCAACGAGGACCATCCGGCAGACCCCTCACGCGCTCCGGGCCACACTGCGCGCTCAAAAGCACGGCCTCTGTGCGGGTGCGCCTATACGTTCGCCCCGCTTCCATGCGGCACGCATCTCGTACGCTTCGTGCCCGAGGGGCAGCTTCGCCCCCTGCGCTCGCCCCGCCCCATGCGGAGCACCCCCCACACGCTTCGCGTTCCGCAGGGCAGGGAGCGTGGGCATGCGCCTCGTGCCCCTTTGGGGAATCCCAGCTACGGCTCCAGTGGGGGTGGGCTCACGTGTTCTCCCCGCCTCAGTTCAGCACACCCCTCGCGCTCTTCGTGCCTCAGAGGGAGGTGCCGAGACCAGCAGTGGTGCTTGGTTGGACGGAGCACCGCGCGCCAGGTCAGGAGGCCAATGGCAAGAGAGAAGGCAATTAGTTTTAAGTCGGGCGTGTCCCCCTACAGGGGGGTTTTCGACCAAGAATCAAAAATACACCAGAAATGCTCAAAAACGTAAGAAAATATTCAAAACTAATCCCCATACTATTTTTGTTTTTGTTTGAATTATTTTTGGGGTATATTTTATTTTTCGTCGAAGATCCCCCTGTGAAGGGACAGGCCCGACTTAAAATTAGTTACCCATCGGTCGTTGAACATAGATATTGTTGGGTTTCCAGGTTCCAATCTATTTTAAAAGCGCCTTCCTACTTCGATGATCGAGTGGCTTCGCCTTTGTCGTCCTCCTTAGGAGGCGGGCGGACACCCAATCTACTTTCAACGCCTTCCTACTTCATTCCTCTACCTACTTCCTCCGACCGATGGGCAGTTTGAAGTCGGGCCTGTCCCTCCCCAGGAGGAATATTCAAAAATAGTCAAGCAATAGCCTTGGGATGTTTTTTTGATTATGTTTGAAGTACTCTTGGAGCATTCGTTTTACTATTTTTTATTTTTCCGTCAAAAATCCGCCCGTACGAGGACATGCCCGACCTAAAGGGTAGCTACATGTGGCGATCGTCGCGGCGTGAGCAGCAGCGGAGCGCCAGAGGGGCAGCGCACAGATGCCCCGCGCGCCTATTGATTTCCATAGGGGATGCCCGGGCTGCGGCGGCCCAGACTCCAGTGCGTCCCTCGGGCATGTGGCCGCCCCGCCGCAGCTGCTGCTTCGGTGGAGGAGGAGGAGGAGGAGGTGGAGGAGGAGGAGGAGGTGGAGCAGGAGGAGGAGGAGGAGGAGGATGAGGAGCAGGAGGAGGAGGAGGAGGAGAAGTGCTGCCTGCACGGGCACAGGGCGCGGCGCGGGCGCAGAGCGCGGCGTGCACGGACGTGGCCGCTTCGCCTGCGGGAGCCTCCTTTCCTGCGCGCTTCTGCCGCTCCTTCAGTCCCGTGTTCAACGCGAGGAGAGGGGGCCCCCTTCTCCAAGGGCACCCTCGAGGGCGCGAAGTTATTCGCGCTTCGTGGTTCGGCTCCGATTCCTCCTCATCCTCCTCTTCTCCCCAGGGAGGCGGCGCGAGAGCGCGAAGTTATTCGCTCTTCGCGCAGCGCGAAGCGCGAAGTTGGGAGCCCTTGTTCTCGCTGCACTGCGTGTGCCAAGGGTTGGGCCCTTCGCCAGGCGAGTGGAGGAGGGACTGCTGGTTGGGAGGCGGGGGCCAACGGCTGTGCCAAAGTGCGTGTTTCTTTGTGAAGTGAGCCAAACGAATACGGCTTGGGATCATACCCCTGCAATTTGGAGTCCTCAGCTTGTCTCTGGGGCCGCGCGTGCACTGCGCTTCACGTGGTCATGGCCTTGGGAGCGAGAAGCCGCGATAGTTTACACAGAACCGTGGCCCTGATAGCCATGTATAACCAAGGTGAACTAGAGCGAGGAGGCCTGAACGGTCTGGTCTGTTCACTTGGCACGCGTGGCTGCATGGGAGATCGCAATGCACCCCGATTGGGGACGCTTTTGTTTGCGTTCTGGTGTCCTGAGGAGACTTGCAGAAGGGTGCCGGAACGATGTACTACACGACATCTCAAACAGACACGCAAGCACGAATTGGCAGCGTCGTCAGTCGCGTTGCATCGATGTTAGGAAGAGTTGTGTTCGGTTCCTCGACTTTGGAAGACCTATGCTCGACGCGTCCCTCCCTCCCATGCACTACGCCATACTCCATCAGATGCCATTCCCGGCACAACGGTGTCCTTGCGCCCGGGTGCTTCCGCTGCCTGCTCCAGTCGCGGTCTTCCTCCCTCGCCATCGCCATCGCCTCTGCTTGGAGAAGCTGTCGTCCAGTTCCTCTCATCCTCGTCCTTTCTGCCGCCGTCCCCACCGAGGATATGGTGCTGGTGCCCCGCATTTTCCTGCACTGCACCCGAATGCAGTTCGAGGACCCCGTCGGGTCGTGCGCTCGCGGGTCCGTCGAGCGGCCGCGATCGGGTCGGGCCCAGGAGGAAGGTAGCGGTGCTCGGAGGGGCGGGCAACACATGTAGGCAGGAACAAGTCTTGTCTGTAGAACCCGATGTTTGCGGAGCCCTGTTTTTGTGAAGCCATGTGAGTGCAATCGCGTGTCTAGAGCAGTGTGTGTGTGTGTGTGGAACCTTGTGCGTGTGGCAGCTTTTATTGTGTGTCTGTGTATGAACTTATCAAAGCCCCCGAAATCTTTGATGGCAATAAGAATTATAAATAAGAAGAACATCCGGGATGTCTTTCACACCGCTGCTGAGTGACTCAAGGGCCCTGGAAAGGTTCGGGCAAAAGTGCAATGGTACGCTCGCTATGTTAGAGTCATGCTCTGCATAATCGTACAATCTGTGCAGCGTATATCTCGCACCCGTGAAAGAGTAAACAGTTGAACCAGGGAGAAACCCTCCCTTCGATATGAAATGTGAAATCAAAAAACTCTATTGAGAATCCTCTTTTGCACAAGCTGCAGAAACTGCATAAACAAACTGCATACACCTGATATACAAAACCTGCCTATGCAAGCTGAATATGAAATATACAACTGCATAAATATGGACTGCATAACTGGCAATGAAACTGAGCGTAAACAAAACTGAAGCTGCGCTGGTCTGTTGGCTCACTCACTGCAGCCATTGGGGCTGTCGTCTGCTGTCTGATTGTAGTCGTCCTGCCATTGGTTGGGTTCGGTCGTCTCCACTGAAACTTCGCCTGCACGCTCAAACCCGTTCATCTTGTGGCAAAACCGCCACAGATCCTCTTGCACACGGTAGGTAACCATGCTCTGTACGCCGACCGTCCGCCGTCGCACTTGCTTCTGGTTGCTGCTCGTCTGCTTGAGGTGGATGGTCGTCTCCTTGTCGATGCTGGTCGTCGGTGTCTCCTCGGTCGTCTCGCGCTTGTTGCTGGTCTCGGTCTGGTACTTCGCACTGGAGTCGTCTCGATGCTCCACAAACTCTTGCAATACATAGTAGACTGCTGGAACTGCCACTGCCATTCCGATCACCGTAAGCATTAATGCATCCAACATGCTTCCAGAAAACCACGAGAACTTCGCGATCTCGTCATTGTAGTACTTGTATTATGTGTTGTAGTCGAAATCTGGAATATAGGTTGCCATTGACTTGCAACAACATGTCGCAAAAAAAATACCAACTGCATGAGTGGTGATATCGCCTTAGTAGCTGACGACGTCTTCATCTTGCTTTTCCTGATGATCTTCTGTCGTTCCTCCTTAGTCCTCTTCTTGGCTGCCGTATAGGTGGGGCCATGCTGAAGCTGAAGTCGTCCTGTTCGAAGTCTGTCTGCGAAGAGCTGCCTTGCCGCTAACTCCGTGAGACCATATGCGTACTGCCGTTCTGATGAGACCCACTTCCTTTGCGTCTGTGTAGCCTCCATCCGTTCTCGTAGTGACAATACCTCGATGACTTTCGCTTGTCCTGGACGCTGGTGATGCTTTCCTTCTTGGCTGCGTCGTAGAGCGCCTTCGCGTCGATCGCGAGTGCTGACTCTCCTGCGTAGCGCGTGCTCTCCTCAACGTTGACGTTCACGCTGTCGTAGATGAGGGCTGCCCAGAATCGCTTCGCAAATTCTTGTGCGTCCATGCCTGCTGCCGCTGTCCATGCAGTGATGATCTGGCTAGCCTCGTCAACTTGAAAGACTTCCAATCCACGACTCAGAAATCTGAGTCCTCGCCGTCCAGTACTTTCAAGTGACATGCCATGATCGCATACCCTCCTTGACTAGATCCGTCTTGTCGTACTCCCCAAGTTGCGTCCGTCATCGCGTTATGGGGCGTTGGGGCTTCCTGGGGGCTTCCTGGGACCGCTTGGGGGTTTCTTTGGGGCAACCTCGGGCCGTCTTGGAGCGGAAGGCTGGAAATTTCCGTGCCGGTTCCCCCTCTGGGCTTTTTTTGAGGGCCGTCTTGGGGCCTTTTGGGCCGTTTGGGGTTCTTTTTAGTAGTCTAGGGGCCTTCTTGGGCCGTCTTGGGACCCTCCTGGGGGCCCTTATGGGCCGTCTTGGGCGTACAGAGCACCCAAGAGGCGGATGTGCTTGAAATATACGTTTTCCGTAGGGAGTAGCAGGGCGATTTTTGTTTCTGGGGGTTCTCTTGGGAGACCTTTGGAGGCCATTTTGGGCCGTCTGGAGGCCATCTTGGGCCGTCTGGAGGCCATCGTGGGCGTCTTGGAACGACTTTTCGGCGACGATGGGCCCTGTCAGACCCCCCCTGGTGAGTTCGAACGGGGGACGTGCGCGGCCAAAGGGGGGTGTCAAATTTCTGGTTTGGGGTCCCAGGGGAGGGCTGATGGGGGGGAAGAATCTCACACGCCTAGAGACCCTCAGGAGGTCGGCGGACTGTCTCGAGCCATCTTGGAGGCCATCTTGGGTTCTCTAAGGCCCGCTTGGAGCAGTCTTGGGCCATCTTGGACGGTCCAACCCCTCTCGGGGCCCCTCGTCTAGTCCCGAGCAGGGGAAGGAGGGGTTCGGGGGAGGAGGGAAGACAAAACTCGTTAAACCCACAGTGGAGGCCCATGCCGAGAAACACCCTGCTTGTCCCCAAGGTGCCCTGGGCTTCTTGGGTTTCGATGGTTTTTTGTTTGCGATGGAACGCGTGACGCTCCCACACCAACAAAAAACAATGGACGTCCTGGGGCCTCAGGGTTGGGTTTCTTGTGGAAGGTTTCTTGTGGACTGGCCTCCACTGTACGCCGAGAGGGTTGGTGGAATATACAGAGGTTTAAGTCGGGCGTGTCCCTCTACACGATTCAAGATATAGTCCTGGGGTCGAGTTGTTTGACTATTCTTGAACATTTGTTGATTATTTGTTTGACTATGTTTTATTTGTCATCCAAAATCCCCCTGTAGGGGGACACGCCCGACGTAACACGAGGTGGGTGCGAGCAGCGCAGGGGGGCCCGGCAGGGTAGGGGGCAGCAGAGCGCTTGGGGTCGTCACCTCCAGGGAATCTCAGGCATCCAGGTTCTCCTCCTCCTCCTCCTCCTCCTCCGGGCGCACTGCAACAACGTTTTTTTTTGCCAGATTTGTTTATAGGTCGCGATTCGCAGCTCTCGACCCGCAAGACAGCGTTGCGCGCCATCTGTTCTTGGTGGCTGCGTAACTGGGGAATCGGATCCTCAGTCACCTGCAGTGCCTCTGCACCGAAACCCGCCTCCGCGCGGGGATCGACGGCCCACTGCAGAAGCATCTGATGGCTGGCGGAGGTCTCTGGAGAATATCCGTAAGGGCTTCGCGCCCTGCCGCCAACCCCCTCTGTATCATAATCGGATATCTTAGAGTCGTTTCGGTGCGTTTGGGCGCCGTCTTGAGACAGCTGGGTGCACCATCCGAGGGCGGACAGGAATCAGCAGCACAGATTGAGACGTCAGCGTAGTCATTGAACATGTCGTTACCTCGATTGTAGGTCTGAGACCTCTTGTATATGTGTTGAGCTGGCTTGGGAAGCCTCTTCGAGGCAAGTGGCCTGTCGGGGGCAGTTTTGGAGCCTATTGGGGCTTTTTGGGGCCTCTTGGCGGCTTCTTGGGGCCTCTTAGGGGCCTCTCGGAGGCGTCTTGGGGGCTCCTGGGAGCTTCTTGGAGCGGAGGGCTCGAAATGTCGGTTCGGGTCCCCCCTCTTGGGCCCATCTTGAGGGCGTCTTGGGGCCCTTTTGGGCCGTTTCGGGAGCCTCTTGGGCCGTCTTGGGGCCTTCTGGGGCCCTCTTGAAGCTGTATTGGGGGCTTCATGGGCCGTCTTTGGCCGTCTTGGAGCGATCTTGGGAGTCTCCTGGGCCGTCTTGGAGCGTTGGGAGCTCGAGAAGGCGAGCATGCAAAAATCTTGCAAAAACTTGAGGGCAATCCTTGAGCCTTGGAGATGCTCTTGGAGCGCTCTTTGGGGCCCGCTCGGGGGTGCTCTTGGTGCCCGCTCGGGGCTGCTCTTGGAGCGCTCTTTGGGGCCTCTTGGGGCCCTCTTGGGCCGTCTTGGAACCATCTTGGAGCGCCTGGGAGCCATCTGTGGGCGCCTTGGAGCACTCGTGGGCCATCTTGGAGGCCTATCCGACCGTCCTGGGGGCCGTTGCGAGGGATGGTGGCCTCGAGAGCGCGGAATCTGCACAATTTACAAGCGATTGTGGCCTCGATTGCACGGTGTCCAACGCCCCCCCAGGAATTCTGAGAACCCCAGGAGGGAAGGTAAACAGTTTCTTTTGGCCTCCCCCCCACCTCGCGCGGTCTAGAAACAGTTCACAACAGGAAACAGAAAGCAGGATTCTAACATGCCTCTACGACCGCCCTGCGTGCGATAAGGAGGTTGGGGGGGGGATTGAGATCAAATCCCGGGACACCCGGGACACCGCCCGACCCACACCTCCCGCCGGCCACCGGCGGACGGGAAACGGACTTTCGCTCCTACTTCGGCCTAGCCACAGGAGGGTCACGCGCAGCTTCGCCTCGCCCGCACGCACGACACGAACACAAAACCGAAACCGATTTCCCGGTGGGGGGTCTCCGTTTCACTGCGATCTCACCCCCCAACCTCCGATTCTAACATTGGAGACTTGAAGCTGAAATTGGAGCAGGGCGCAGCAAGCGTAACCCCCGCAGCCTGATGGCCCCACAAGGGGGCCGGCGGATTTGCCGGCCGCCACTGCGAAATACCTATACGACCGCCCTGCGGGCGATAAGGAGGTTGCGGGGGGATTGAGATCAAATGCCCACCCTGACTGACCTTCAGCCTGTCACCTTGATCTCATCTCTCTCTTTCTCTCTGTCTTTCTCTCTCTCTCTGTGTCTCTCTCTCGCTCGCCCTCTCTCTCCACCACAATTGATGGGTTGGGTTGGATGGATTGGATTGGGTGGGATAAGATAAGATGGGGCAAGATGAGTTGGATAAGATAAGATGGATTGTATTGGACAAAATGGATTGGATAAGATAAGCTGGATTGGATAAGAAAGCCGGCCGCTGGCGCCGACAAAAATGAATTGATAACATTTGCGACATGCGTTAGCGCCGGGACGCCCGGGACACCCGGGACACCGCCCGGCCCAACTGGGACATTTCCCGGCCACCGGCGGACGGGAAACGGACTTTCCTACCTACTAACACCCGGGTCCTCCTCCTCCTCCTCCTCCTCCTCCTTCTCCCCCTCCTCCTCCTCCCCCTCCTCCTCCTCCTCCTCCTCCTCCTCCTCCTCCTTTTCGTCCTATTTCTTATGGTAGCAACCTGACTGTATGAGGCATGGCGGATGTCGTGGCAGAAAGGAGCGCAGGGGGGGGAAGGGCGGGCGGGGATAAGGCCCCCCGCCGCCGGAGGACATGGACGGCTCCATGTTCACCGCCTCGAGCGACCTGGCGCCAGATCTGCAGGTCGTCGGGCCCAGACATGTGTGTAGAGTCGGGGAGCGGCGGACGGCGCCGAGCACGAGCACGCGTAGGGAGCATGCGCATGGGGGAGAGGGCAGCCGCAAGAAGAAAGTGTGCAGGCAGGAGAAGGAGGAGCAGCGGCGTATCGACGGAGAGCGAGGGGGGAAGTGAGAAGGAGAAGGCCCTCACAGAAGGCGGCGGGACTTCTCAGAAGCCCTCGCGCCTTCTGAGAAGTTTTCTGCCTCTTCGGGGAATGCTCAGGAAACTTGTCAGAAGACTGGGGGACTTCCGAGCTTTCTGAGAAGGCTTTCTCTTTCTCACTTTCCGCCCGCGCTCGCCGCCGAGCAGAAAGGAGCAAACAAGACATGGAGAAGGATGAGGAAGAGCAGGTGGCGGGGAGGGGGAGATGGATGTTCGGATGTTCAGTTGAATGCGGAGGGCGAGGACGATGGAGAAGAAACGGGAGAGGAGGAGGAGAAGGAGGAGGAGGAGGTGGAGGAGGAGGACGAGGACGAGGAGGAGGACGAGGATGAGGAGGAGGAGGGGGACGAGGAGGAGGAGGAGGAGGAGGAGGAGAAGGAGAAGGAGTGAGGGGGAGTGAGATTGAGGTGAGGATGAGGAGCAAGAGTAGATAAACGACAAGGTCTGGATTCAGCCGTAGGGAGCTTCGTGTATTAACGTAGCGGCAGCTCTGGGCAATTCTAGATGCTTCCCGCCAGTCTGGCCTGTTGTCCGCGCAATACGCGATTCTCTACGGCGTTCACGTCGTGACCCTGGGCCAGGCCCTCAGGTGCAGTCGCCCTCCGGGCCGGGTCCATCCTAGTGTTGTTGCTCGGGACTGGCGTCTTCCACAGGATACTCGAGATGCGTCGCGGAGTGGTCCAGCCTTCCAGCAAACGCCGTGCTTCCCCCGCGACTCGTCCCAGCCTGCCAGGCATGTCTATGCCGCTGTCGCGGCCCTGGCCCTTGGCGCCCTCTGGCGACATGGTCAGTCTGTACCTGGCTTTTCTTAGCGACAGTGGTTGTGCACGACGTGCTTGCAGAGGGTCCTCAGCACGCGGCATGGCACTCAAACCATGGTGGACTGGCGCCTCGGCGTGCGGTTCTTAATTCTTTGGCACCCCTGCCACAGGCTTGCTCGATGCATCAGCTTCCCTGGGAATTGCAGACCAGCCATTCAGCCCCACCTGCCGCTGCTGCTCCCCAGCTGCCGCCCGCTTCTGAGTGTTGGCCCGGCTGGCTCGCGTGGCGCTTAGTAGCTAATTAATTAGGCTGGCCCGTGCCCCGGACCCCTTTTCGCCGCCTGCCGTCTGCTGCACGGTCGCAACCAAAAAAGTAACCCCACCAACCTTTTTGCTCGCGGCTTCTGCTATCTTCCGCGGGGTTGCCCCACGCCGCAGTCACCACGGGACACCACACTGCCAGCTAATTGCCCGCCGCTTTGGCGTGCACCCCCCGCCGGTTGCTAGCTGCCGATGGGACCCTCTCCGTGAGCGTCGCGCGGCCCGCCCCGGCTACGCTCTCTTCCCTGTGCTCTCTTGTTGTCTCTCTTTCTTCTCTCTCCATCCAGAAGCGATGCCCAGAGGAACTGTCTCGATCAGCGAAGTGGGCAGTTGGAGCGTCTTGGGGGCCTCTTGGCGTCCTGGGCGCCTGTAGAACGTTTTGGGTACCTCGGAGAGCTTCTTGGGGCCGCTCGGGGGTCTCTTGGTGGCCTCTTGGAGGCCTCTGGGGCGCCTGTTGTGGCCTCGTGGGGCCTCTTGGGCGCCTCTTGGGGCCCTCTTGAAGCGCTCTTGGGAGCCTTGGGAGCGCTCTTGCAGCCCCCGTGGGCCATCTTGGAGCCACTTTGAAGCCTCGGATGGCCATCGGAAACGAAAAGGCGAGACAGCCCGAAACATAGATGTCCCTTAGATTTTGGAAGGATGTTGGCCTCTTCGGGGCCTCTTGGGGGAGTTCCTTGGCCACGTGGAGCCGTCGTGGAGCGATCTTGGGGCATCGTGGGAGCCATTTTGAGGCATTCTGGGATGTTTTGAACCATCTTGGAGGTCATCTTGGGTTCGCCCAGGCGCTCTTGTAGTCATCTGAAGCAGCGCCCCCCCTCCCAGGAGGCCAGGGTGCCTCTGGGGGGGCCTCTTGGGGCCTTTTGGGGGTCTGTTGAGAGCCTCTTGGGGGCATCCTGGGGGCCTCTTGGGGGCGTCCTGGGGCCACATGGGGCCATCTTGGGGCCTCCTGGGGCCTCCCAGGGCGCCTCCCGGGGTCATCGTGGAGGAGATCGATCGACGAAGGGGGGTCCCTCAATTAGGACCCCCCTCATCGGAGAGGTCAAAGTGGGCCCCAGGCCCGGTTAAAACCAATGGTGTTGGCTTCCTCGCCGATGCCATCTTGGACGCCCCAACCCCTCGCGAACCCCCCCGTCCAGGTCCAGGGGGGGGGTAAGGGGGAGGGGTAAGCCCCTCCTCGAAGGGAAACGCCTTACACCACCTACGCCCCGAGGGCTGGTGGGACTTTTCGCGCTTCGCGTATCCCCACATGCCAATTCGGAAACCCTGCCCACGAGAGTTGGCGGGGGGGGGCAACGAAGAGAAACATGTAGCGAAGCAGAGCAGGCAACCAGTGTGACCAGGGAGATCTCAAGGGGCAAGGGGGTGGCCTTGGATGGCCTCTTCGGGTCACGGGGGCCCGCGTGGGGGCGAGGGAAGGAAACGGAGGAGTCGGAGGAGGAGGAGGAGGAGGACGAGGGGGAGGAGGAGGAGGAGGAGGACGACGACGACGACCACGACGACGAGGAAAAGGACGAGAAGGGGCAGGAACACGATGAGGCCAAGGACGAGGACGAGGAGAGGGAGACGAGGACGAGAACAGTGCCTTCGACATCGCCTCTTGGAGCCTCTTGGGACTCCTTTGGGGGGGAACGTAGGTCCTCTTAGGGGCTCTTTTGGGGCTCTTTTGGGGCCCTCTTGGGGGTCCCGTGTGCCCTGGAGGACCTCTTCGGGCCATCTTGGAGGCCATCGATCAGAAGGTGGGGCCGATAGGGGGTTCCACACGTTCCCCCCATGTAGGAACAGGGACAGGCGACACATGCACCAGGGCGAGGAGATGCGAGGAGCAAGGGGCGTCTCCCCGGTGGAATGGTCCCCCTCTCTCGCTCGGGACATCCCCTATCCCCAGATCGGGGAGGCCTCGTAGACCTCCTCGCCGGAGGTGGCCCCCCTGGTGGTGTTGGTGCCGCATCTCGCCCCTTCCGACCCTGGGGCCATCAACATCGCCTCTTGGGGCGCTGTTGAGCGCTCTTGGGGCCGCCTCGGGGGCCTCTCTGGCCCCTTTTGGGCTTCTCTTGGGCCATCTTGGGGTCCCGAATCCACATCGGAAGCAGCACGGCGAGAAGTCAGATATGATTGATGTGCCTTATGGGGGTTTGACCGACTTTGGCCTAGTGGGTGGTCCTGAGGGGGCCTCGGAGGGCACTTGGAACCGTCTTGTGGCCCTCGCTGGGCCTCTCGGAGATATGTCGGAAGCTATCTTGAGCCATCGTCGGCTATCTTGGGTCATTTGGGAGGCCATCTTGGAACATCAGAGGTTCCATTGGAGAGCCAGCCTGGTCAATATCAATAAAGGACCCCCTAACACACCGCGGAGCCCACAACAAAGCCGCAGGGAGGGGGTGGTACACCTCCCCGAAGGTACGAGGGCTTTGGAAGAAGGAATGAAGAACTCGTCAGATCACCTTCGTCCAAATGACCGGTGGGATTGGCGGAGGACCTCAAGCGACAATGACATGGAATTGGTTTGCGCAGGTGAGACGTGATTAGTCTAGAATTTCAGAAGTCGCGCCAGCGACATACATCGGGTCTTGCACCCGAAGCATCGGGCCTTGATGAGACACCGAAGGGCTATGATACGCCAAGCAAGGTCCAGCCAAGCTGCTGCCGAGAGCGCCAAGCTAAGCTAGGCCCAAGCGTTAAGTCAATAAGGTGCGCGTCGATCTTCTTTGTCTGCTCCAATTCACTCTCCAGGATCAGTATTGCAGATGGTCAGAAGCTTGCTTGCCGACGGAGAGGTATCAGCAGCTGCGTTTGCCGCTGTCATGGGAACGGGTGGCGAGAGTCCTCGGCGAGTGCTGGTCCCAGCACGGAGCGAGGGTCACCGAGCGCGTTACGTTACTCGCAAAGTGCCTACTCGCAAACGTCCGGCAAAAGCATGTCTCCCTCGATGTCGTCTATCGTAAGTCCCCCGTGGCGGATCCAGGCCATTTGCGAGCAGCAGCTTTGCGAGTAGTGGAGCGCGCTTGTCCAGAGGGGAGGGGGAACAAGAGCGTGGGGGGTGGGGAGCAGGAGGGGCGGGAAGGCTGATACGGGAAAAAGGGGGGGGTCGGCAGCAGGAGCAGAGACTGGCTGAGGAGGAGGAGGAGGAGGGCGCAGAGGGATCGTTCAGGTGGCCCTGCATCGGCTTCACGAGCTGTCCGAGCTGCCTTCTGGGATACGACGTTTTTCTTCTCCCTGATTTGCTACAGGTAGCCACGTGCGCATGGGAAATGGGCCAGGCAATCGGTAGTTGTTGCTAGTCCCTGCGCATGTCGGGCGATCATGTTGAGATGGTGTGCACGCACATGTGCTGGTTGTGGCGGGCATGCTGTACTGAGCATTCGTCTCATCTGTGCCCACTACCCCGTCATTCGTCACATGCCATGCTTGGATTATGGCGCAGCCTACGCGCTGCTTCAGCCTGCTTGCGCTCGCGCTCGCCGCCGTCGCAAGGCCGTCGATATCTGCGGCGATCGTTGGTTGAAAACGCCGACCTGAGCCCTCCTCGAATCCACGACGCACTCGCACCCATCGCCTCGACGGCATCGCAGCGGGCCGCCGACAAGAGAAAAGTGCTGTGTGTGTATGTGTGTGTGTGTGTTGCGGGTGCGTGTCGCGAACGGCTCGACGATGCACCGGCGACGGCACGACCGCGACTCCGCTCGAAGCTCCCGCACTGGCGACGGCGGTGAGCCCCGTTCGGGCTGCGACCCACACGGGCAACCGTCCGCCGAGCAAGCCTTTTTGGGCTCACCACCCACCTTCACCCATCTTGTCAGGAGGGAAAAAACACAGACACAATTGATCGTCGATTCCCCAGAAAACATGGGAAAATATGGGAGGTGGGGGAAGAAAAAACTTAGAAAATACGGGAATCTATAGGAATCCTGTTATTTGTGTCTATTCATTTGCGTGTCCCACGGCCCCTTCAACCTTGTTCCTTCGGCACTCAACCCCCTTTGATGCCGTACGTGTGCGACGGAGCTGGTTGCGAGAGCACGCCAACGTTGACATCTCCAGCCCTAGTACCGCGCCCTCCCCGTCGCGCGTGACGCGCTCTGCTCTTCAGGCGCCGCGGAAGGCTGGAAGTCGATCACTTTTCTGCGATTTTGCGACATCTACATACGAAATTGTGCAGAACGCCGAGGTTCAGGGTATTTCCTGTACTACCTTGGGACCTCCAAGCTTGGACACTCACCCCACCTCGTGGTGAAAGATGGCATGTGCGTCCCATCCCCTACGACGCGGCCACAGCGACCGCCGAGGTCCCTCTGGGCCGATACCATAGTAGCATGTGGCATTTTGCAACTGCGCACGGGCCCTACACCACGATGACACCAACCAGTACAGGCCGTGTGGACAGAGGCTTCGGCTAACCGCAATCCATCAGCAATGGGCCTCGGCGACGCAGTGCGAAGCTCTACGGCCACGCCTCGCGACCCCACGAGTCCACTATGGACAAAATCCCCCAGGCCTGCGGACCGCAGACCAGTGTTACGCCCGCAACACAGGCGCCCTCCGCCGCTGATGCCACTCCACCGATTGCACCAGCAAGACCAGCGATCGCACGCAATTCGACGTTGCGCAAGTCCACGCGGTCTGTGTCGCCTCTGGAGGAGGAGGAGGAGGAGGAGGAGGAGGAGGAGGAATCGTGAAGCGCTGAGGGCGATTCACCGTTCCGCCCGACTGGCGCGCCGCGCCGCGCCCTCGCTTGCACGGCCTCGACACAGACAGAGCCACAAATCACCCGTGCCCTGATGCGGGCTGCCAGATACGCCAGCTGACCACTGGCGCAGTTCCCTTGCGAACCACCCGGCGGGCCGCGGAGCACTGCACAGATCTGGCCGCATCCTCGAGACAGGTTGGCCCCTTCCCTGCTGTCTGCTCTTCGGCCATGCGAGCCAGCGATGTCTGCTTCCTTCGCCTCCTCCCTGCCCGCCTCCTGCGGGGCATGCCTGCGCGGCGCCCGGAGCCTCGGCGGCCCGTGGCACGGGACGTATACGAGATTACACCGTTCACATGCTTCGTGCGCCCCCTCGGCGCCTTTTTGCCTCTGCTGGGTCACCCTTTCGCTGCGCATCCCGCCCAGACTGGGTCCAGGTCCCCGCCCGGGTCCGGTTTCCTCGCTTCCCCCCTGCGTTACTTCCCCAGCGAGCGGTACTTGCTTGGAGATTATCCCCGCAGTGGCCCGCACCCAAAATTTTGGTAGGCTGGCTCCCGTTGCTTGGAATCCGCGCCGCGTCGTGGATTCAGGCCATATTCGCTTGCTCCGAACTTTGCCACCGGGTGAGCGTTGTGCGTATGTGCCAACGTGCCGAGACTTCAGGATATGATGCAAGTGCGTGGGCCCTGAAAAGTGCAGTCGTGCAACCAGTGTGGAACCTCACGTGAGTCACCCCATCCAACATGAGAGGAACGCCATGTGTGTCGAACCATGCGTGTGGAATCTCAGGTGCGCATCTGCGACGCCACGTGTACGGACGGGCTGTTTTTCAGCCCCAAGACTTTTAGAGAGGGTTGGGGGACGACGTCGGGGTGGTGTGGTGTATATTTTTCATTGTTTTCCCAGGGAAGCGACGAAGCCTGTATACACCAGGACCCCGTATAGCCACGACCTGCTTTCTTGTGCGAATGTCAGTGCTGGGCCTGAAAAAGCGTCGGTGTATAGAGTTCGGTTTCTTACCTTAATTCTTCATGCCAGCCTGCACACACACATATACACACACACACGCACGCACGCACGCACGCACGCACGCACGCACGCACAGACACACACACACACACACACACACACGCGCACACGCACACGCACACGCACACGCACACGCACACGCACACACACACACACACACACACACACACACACACACACACACACACACACACACGCGCGCGTCGATGCCACCTCCCGCGCGGTCCAGGCTGCCGCGGCAGCCCAGGACCATCCACGTCGGGGCCGTACCTTGAAGCTAACACCTTAGTGCAGCCTCACCCCCTCTCGGATCGGCGAACCTTGTAGATGTTTGCACCTTTGGCTGCATCTTCAGGCCGACACCCTGTGTTGCCCAGCGGAGCTAGTTCATCACATCCGTGGGCCGTAGTCTCAGGCCAACACCTTGCCCTGCCTCACCCTGGCGCATGGGGCGGCGAACCTCATGAAGGCCAGGGCGACATCCGGCGCTGCGCCGATTCTGAGGCTCACCCGCGGCGTTGCGCCTGCTGCTGCTGCCGGGCCCTCGCCACCAGAGCAGGCCTCGGGGCCGCCAGTCGCTGGGCGAGCGCGTCCTGCTGCCACTGCTTGCGCGCAACTCGCCATCAAGAGCCCTCACTCTGGTCTCGACTCGCTCGGCCGCGCGCCTGTTGCGCGCGCCACGAGTCAGCGATGCATGCGGCGGCTTCGAGCCTCATGCCCTCCTGCACGCGGACGGCGGGGCGAGAGGCGGCCTCTGTCGCGCGCTCCTTCTCGCTCCGCGTGCGCCTCCGCCACCCTCAGCGCTCGTCGTCCCGCTCCCCATCTCCTGTGACGACGACCGGGCCCTGTTCGGGCGTGGGTCGTCGGGCTGGGCGGCGGGCGTGGCTTCGCTCACGAGGCCCACCCCGACCCCGTCCGCTGCCTCTTCCGCGCGCTCCTGTGGCAGGCGGCCGCTCGGCCGTGCCCGCCGCCGCCCAGCACCCCGCTGGGCGGGCCCCCCCGCGCAGCGCGCAGCGCGCCCGGCGAGAGCAACGCTCCTCGGCTGCGCGCCGGGCGTGCCGGCTGCGCGCCCGAGCGGTCGCGCTCGCCGCCGTGGCCGGCATGCGCTTGCCCTGGGCGAAGGCCCAGAGATTGACACCAACGCCAATATCGGCGGTGTGTATCTACCGAGGGAAGAAGATCCCGATCTCGGTGATGGTGGTAATATTCTGGCTTCCAAGGTGGCCGAAATATTGCCACCAACACCGAAATCTAGGATCGCCTTCCCCATGTGGAGGCAACCCCCTGTGTTGGTGTTGGTGCCCAGTTCTAGGCCTCCCACCCTGGGCGAAGGCTGTGCGCGCGTTTCGGCCCCCGTGGGCGCCCGTCGGGCGCGGTCCGCCTGCGGCGGCCGCCTGCAGGGGCCAGCGCGCGCTCAGCGGCCGCCACGTGCACGGGCGTCACCGCCGTGCGGCCGACAGCGAGTGCACGCTCGATGCACGGAACCGCGAGCCGCGGCTCGCAACCGACGAATCCGTCGCGGCCGTCGCCGATGCCGTCGCGCGGCCGCGCTTTGGTCAGAGGCGACGATGGGGGCGAATAGCCCAGGGGAGAGCAATACATGTGTTCAGGTGCGCCGATGACCTGTGTCTTCGACAAGGCTCCTGGGCGAATACGTGTAATGCCCGCCCCTGGGCTATTCGCCCCTATCGTCGCCGCCGAGTTGGCAGGACGCTTGGTCGCGACTCCACAGGGCCTGCCACGGCCTCCGCCGCCCCGCGCATCGCCTCCTGAAAGACCTGCTCGCCGTCTGGCCGATCGCCAGGCGGCATCATGGCTTTCGCTTCCAGGCAGAACCAAGCCATACCACGCGCCTCCTCGTCAAGCGGCCTGACCAGTACAGGCTGCAATTTAGCATCGTTTGGTATCTCTTGGAAGCGAGGGTGGTCAAAAGCGAGGTAGGTTTGTTTTCCCCCTATTCTCTCCCCGCACGGCGGCATGAAGCCTGACCACCAGCTGAGGCAGCCAGACCGAGGGCTCCCCGCCGAGGGCGCGAGCGCGAGCCCGGGCTGCGGAGCCCCCACCCCCTCGGAGCTGTCGCCAGGCTGCCAGGAGGGCCTGAGCTGAAACGGCCGCGTCAAGCGTGTGCAACCACGCGCTTCCTCTGGGGCGCCGTCCCTCGGAGAAGTCGCCAGGCTTCCAGGAGGGCTTGAGCTGAAACGGTCACGTCGCGCGCGTGCAACCACGCGCTTCCTCTGGGGCGCCGTCCCCGCCACACGCATGGGCTGCTCCGAGCTCCTCGTAGTCCCTCTCGTGGGCCGGCGCCTTGCCGTTTTCCTCCCTGTCTCTGCGTGGTGGTTGGATTCGCCTGAAGCACCCAGTTTTGCTTGACTCGCCAGCGCAGTCACTCTGCCTGGCCGCCGATGCAACAAAGAGCGTGCGCAACCCTGTGCGTCAGGACACCCACGCGTGTGGAGAGCCCCACGTGTGCGGAGCCCCACGAGGACGTGCGTATGGAAGCCCATGCGTGTGACCCCCCGCTGGGCTCCACGTGTGCGGTACAGTGAGCGGCTTGAATAAGGAACACTTGCGTTTCAAAAGGGGCTTGGTCGTTCCTTAGGCTTGAATGCGTTATTTCGTCGTTTCTTGCTGCGATGTCTGTTATCTCTCGTTACTCATGCGTTATTCCCTGGAAGGTGAAAAGGTGCTGCGTTCCTTGTAGATCGTTCCTTAGGTCAGGCCGATGACTGTACCCCATTTGTGTGGATCGCTATGCGCGTTGAGCCTACCAGCGCAGAGAACTCCATGGCGGCAATGGGTTCCCAGGGCCACGGCGTGTGGAACTTTTTGGTCAGGAGGGGAAGAAAAACACACAGGCACAATGAAGCGTCGATTCCCAGGACAAAATATGGGAAAATATGGGAAGTGGGGGCGAAGACAAAAACCAAGAGAGTATGGGAAACTATGGGGAATCATTTCATTTGTGTATATTTATGTGTGTGTGTCCCAGGGCCCCTTCACTTGGTAGCAGCGGCCCGTAGAGCGCTTGCGAAGGTCACGCAGTTCGGAGCACAATGGCAACAGCGGCCTGACCCCGGTGGGCAAGGTCAGCTCCCCAGAATGCAAGTAGGAGCCCCTGAAGTTCAAGCCGTGTCTGGTGAATCAATGCTTTTTATTGGAAGAATGCGTCTGTGGTGTGTGGGAGGTGCGTGTGCGGCTTGAGTTGTCTGCATGTGTGCCGATGGTCGTTGGCCGTTGTTCTCTGCCCTGCGGGGGATATTACGAGATTCGTAGGCAGCGTAGGGGGACCCCGTCCGTGCCGAACATCACAAGAAAAGACCCCCGCCCCTTGTCGAAACAGCGGTGCAAATCTGACCCCCCGTCGCGCAGCGCGCGGGGTCCAGGAGATCGACCTTGGGGGATACGCGAAAGACACCTTCCACACGACCCCAGGCAGGCCAGGGTTGGAATGCCGAGCGACAGTTCCCCCGACCGCGCGGTTTCGGAGCAGCCGCCGGCGGCCACTCCCAGGCGCTCCCAGGCGCTCCCGGGCGCTCCCAGGCGCTCCCAGGCGCTCCCAGGCGCTCCCCAGCTCTGGTAAGCTGCGAGGAGGGTCAGAGCCCCGAATCATCAGGGGTAACTCGGAGCAGGGATAATTCGGGTTCGTTTCTCGGGAATCCAAACCCGAGTTACCCCGGACCCGAGCTACCCCGGATAACTCGGGCGTCCAGAGCCCCGAATCATCAGGGATAACTCGGGTCAGGGCTAACTCGGGTTCCTTTTCCGGGAATCCAAACCCGAGTTACCCCGGACCCGAGTTACCCCGGATAATTCGGGCGCCCAAGAGGGAGGAGGGAGGAGGGAGGAGGGAGGAGGGCATCCTCGGGCGAGCCTGCACGCCCCAGCGGAGAACCCGTTTGGAGAGCGGCAGCGCACGGCAGGAGAAGGCTGCCGTCGGCCCGCGGAGTCTCGAGGAACGGCTTTTTCCAGGGCCCGCGCATCCTTTTTTTCCTCCTCCTCCTCCTCCTCCTCCTCCTCCTCCTCCTCCTCCTCCTTTTCTGGGCCGACCCCAGTCCAGCCCTGTTCCTGGATCCCCGAGGGCCGGACGCAGGCCACCTGCGCTCGGACCCCCCCTCTTGGAGGTCGGTCGGCGGCTCGGCTCCCCCTCGCTCCGAGCGCAGGTGGCCTGCGTCCGGCCCTCGGGGATCGTTGAACAGGGCTGGACTGGGGTCGGGCCTGTCCCCCCCCACAAAGGGATCTGGGCCGACCGTGTGCTACGGGCCGACCGTATGGAGTTACCGGCGGCGAGTGTCTTGGCACCGCTCGGACGTGTGCATGTCTCCTTCGGCGAGGGCCATCGAGGAGCATCCTTGATTATTCGGCGAAGAAGCCACGCACGAAGCCGACAAAAAACACAAGGAATGGACGTCCGAGCGATGGCGAGATGCGGACGGTGATTCCCAAATCGTTCGTTTGGAAATTCCCCACCACTTCTGCACCAGGCCGCCGACATTCGCAATGTTCTTAAGGGCTTCGCCCTCTGCCGCCGGCCCCCTTACGATAATGGAAGATGTGAGAGCCGTGTCGGGATGTCTGGGCGCCGTCTTGAAGAAATTTGGGAACATCATGCGGGGGCGGATGGGAATCAGCATCACAGATTGAGATGTTGGGGCTATTCTTGATCGACGGCAAGCGAGGGGGGTAGTGAGAAGGAGACTGGCTTCTCAACGGCGGTGGGGCTTCTCAGAAGTCCTCGCGCCTTCTGAGAGGTGTTCTGTGTCTCCGGGGGAAGGCTTAGGAAACTTCTCAGAAGGCCGGGGAGCTTCCGAGCCTTCTGAGCATGCCCGCTATTTCTCACTTCCTCCCGGGCTCGCTGCCGACTTGAACGATGTTGCAATCTTTCTTGGAGCATTCCCCGCGCGAATCTGGCGTAATTGACGCAATAATCTGCTATGTGGATCGCGAATCTGGCTTAACTTATTTAATCGCTTCGCTCATTCCGCCGGCCCTGGAGCGCTATTTGGGGCCTCTTGGGGCCGTCTTGGGGGCTTCTTGGGGGCTTCTTGGGAGCGTCTTGGGGCTCCTTGCGGCGTATTGGGCTCCCCTGGGGCCTCTTGGGGGGCTCTTGGGGGCCCCTTGGGGCGAGAGGGGGGGTAGTCGTTGGCAGCCCCCCCCTCGGAGGCCGCGATCCTCGTGAGGGGTGGCGAAAAATAGCCTCCCCCCTGGGGATCGCCCGGGGGTCAGCCGGGGATCGGCCAGAGTACTTTTCGTCCGGGGCCCCCCAGGGGCCGCCCCGTGCGCGTGAACTAGAAATATTGTTAAGTAGTTACCGGAGATCTTAGCACGCCTCTGGCCCGTTGGGCCGGCGAATTCAGGATTCTGACCTCGGGAGCTCCAACCTGGTGTCATTTATGATGGATTCTCGTGTCGAGAGCGCGAATTTGGCGTAATTTCGGAGGGAATCTGACGAGCGCGAATCTGTCGCAATTCACAAAGGATCCTGGCCTCGTTCGCGCACATCTGGCGTAATGTAAGAAGGATTCCAGCCTCGGGCATGCGAATCTAGTGCAACTCATACAAAGGAATGTTGTTTCGGTGGCGCGAAATTCAGAGTATCTGAACGTGTCCCAGACCAGCCAGAAATTCAGGCAACTCGATTCGGGGACGGTGAACTTCTCGTGCTCGGTCCCCCCCCTGCGCGGACAGCAACAAATTACAGTTGGAAGCAGGACGTATAACTTAAGCACTGGAGACCGGAATTGGAGCAGGTTGCAGGGGACCTCAGCCCCGCAGCTTGATGGGCCTGCAAGGGGGGCCGTCGGATTTACCCCGTCGCGCACAGCAAAAACGTTCAAATTGTGTCTGCGCGCGGCAGTTTATGATTGTTTCTGCGCGCGCTCGTAGCACCTTGAGCCTGCGCAAATCGAAGGTGTTCCTGCATGTGTGTGCGCGACGGTGTGTCCCTACTTGGGTCACTTCCCCCCTTCTCATCGACTTGCACAGTGGATTTCGGCTTATGGGTGCACTAACTCCTCCTAAGTACTTCTGCGCGCCCAGTCTGCCACCTCTCGCTCCACCTCGCCAGTGGCTCCTCCTCCCAGTGGGGTCGTCCTCAATGTTCCTGTATCGCGCGGCGACGAACAAAATTATCTACGGGCCCGACCCACTCCCATCCTCGACTTCTCACCCTTGGACGGCGCCTGCCTTCCTCCATGGTTCACGTGGGCAGCGCATCCGCTCTGCGGGCACCTGCTCCAGCACAACGAAAGCCTCCCCCGTCCCTCCGTCCCCCCTCCCGGCGGTCCCCCCCAGGGCCTCCGCGGAGGCCGCGGCTCCAGCTGCAGCCGCGACGGCCGGGCCCGGCTTCCCGGGCTTCCAGTGGCTGCTGGAGCACACTAAGGCGGCCTGAGCACGGCGACTGCGACGGGGCGGGGGCGAGGCAGGAGCAGGAGGTGGAGGAGCAGTAGCCACCAGCCACAAGCGTACCTTTCAGCTTCAGCGCAGCGAGCTCGCACAGCCCTGGGTGCAGATCGGCACCATGATGGAGGAGGGGGTCAGTCCCTACTGGGGGCCTCCACGCTACAACTAGCTACTCAGTGCTGCACCTCACTCGACCACCTGGTACGTAGCCCTGGCAGCCCCAAGTCCGCCACAGCGGCACTGCCTCAACAGAACTTGTCGCGGTTACTCATCTGATGCTTTGCCCTCTGCTGTTGATTCGCCTTTCGTATCTTGGTTTTTCTCTCTGTACATCGATGTATCTATATACATATGTGTATATATAGGTGTATACAAGTGGCACGTGTATGCCCAGGCTCATACAAAAAACTGAAGGGGCGTTTGAAGCAGGAGTGAAATGCAACATCGAAGTCGCACTCGAGCGCAAGTGGGGTTGCCACACCTTGCGATGTGTGTACCAGGACCCCCCAGGAAGCCTCAGGAGGCCCGACTTGGATACCAGAAGAGGCTCCAGGAGGCCCCAGGATTGTGAGTGTTGTGCGTGTGTGTGTGTGTGTGTGTGATGTATGCTTTGTGTGGTGCGTGCTTTTTGTGTGTTGTAGGTGTTGTGTGTGTGTGTGTGTATGTTTGTCTAGCGTGTGATGTGTTGGGCGTGATTTGTGTCTCTGTGTGCATGTAGTTCTGAAGCCCCAGGAGGCCCCAGGAAGCCCCAGGCGGCCTCAGGAGGCCCCAGGAGACCCCAGGAGGCTTCAGGAGGCCCCAAGAGGCTCCAGGAGGCCGCAGGAGGCCCCAGGAGGCCCCAGGAGGTTTCAGGAGACCCCCAGGAGGCTCCGAGGCGGGGTCTGGGGTGCCAGAAGGTTCAGAAAGCCCCAGGAGGCCCCAGGAGGTTCCAGGAGGCCCCCAGGAGGCTCCGAGGCGGGGTCTGGGGCTCGATTTTGGAAGGATTTTTCAAGCGAAACCGCCATTCCCTGAGAATCGGGGTCACAATTATTGAAATTACCATGTGTGTTTGAAGGTTTTATGTTAACATGTTGAAATTCCCATGTGTTTTTGGACTCTGACGTCACGATCTGCGTGAGGGGTGCCACCGATTTTCAGAATTTCGAGGATGTCCCGAGCGAAACGCCCAGACAAATCGCGGACGCGTGCGCATTAATCGCCTCTGAGCTCTACTCCCTCGGAGAGGTGCGCATGAGAATACACATATATACACATATATTCACATATGTATATATGTGCACATTTTAAACATATCTAGCATGCATATGTGTGTGTCTATAACATGTGATTTTCCTCACTTGCACTTAAGGGTTCGAATTTGCTTACGAGGAGGGCTTACCTGTGTATGCCGTGCTTTCGCCACGTTGCGGGCCCGTGCCGCACCCTTGGGCGCTCCGCGCCTTGGGGGGTACGTCGAGGTTGCGCCACGCTGCTGCCTCGTGGGCGCCTCGTGGTTTACGGCACAGTTTTCATCACATGGCTTACACAACATAGGCTACACCCCAATCGGGCCGGACGACAGGGGGGGGATAGGGAAAGGGGGGATTACGAAATCTGCTGCACGCAGCAGGTTGCGGCCCCACCGAGGGACCTATTCTTCGATACATGGCCGCCTCCGGCGCCGGGAGGCGCTCGGAAAATCAGCTACGTGAGCTGATTCTCAACCCCCCCCTTTGCTATCCCCCGTTTCGCCCAGCCCGACTTAAGCTTCCACCTCCAGCTCACACCACCCCCCCCCATAGTTGGCGCCTCCATACCCCGCACCCGCACAGCTCACGCTGCACAGCCGTCACCACACAGCTACACAGTTCACGCCGCATCGTTTTACTTGCAAGGTGCAACGACGCACTGCTCGGAGCTCACGCTGGCCACACACACACGCACACATCTACCTGGGGAAGGAGCTCGGGGCCCAGAGGCCACGGCCCCGACCCCCCAAACGGGGCCCCCCCCCCCCCCCCATGTGGCCTCCAGGGCCGCCCCCCGGCCGCTCAAGACAGCCCTCGGGGCGCTCCAAGAGCGCCCACGATGGCTTCCAGATTGCATGGGAGACTGCCAAGAGCACCTGCAAGCGCCCCGAAGGGGCCCCAGGACCGCTCAAGATAACCTCACGGCGGCCCCGAAGCCGCCCCAAGAGGTCCCGAAGAGGGCCTCCACGAGGCACAAATCATCAGATTCCTTCTGGAAAACTTACCCATCGGTCGTTGAAAGTAGGTATTTTTGGATTCCCAGATTACAATCTACTTTCAGCGCCTTCCTACTTCAAGAGTCGAGTGGTTTTCCCTTTTCCCTCCTCGTCAGGAGGCGGGCGGAAACCCAATCTATTTCCAACGCCTTCCTACTTCATGTTTCTACCTACTTCTTCCGACCGATGGGTACGTTTTTAGTGTATTCGCTTGTTGTGTCTTGAGAGCGTACAAGACGTCCCAAGAAGCCCACAAAAATCGCCCCAAGTCGGCCACAGGCATCCGCTCGACCTTCCCTGAGATCGCTCGTCTGTTGGACTCGCGCTAGGCTTGCATCGACCAGGAGATGGACAAGATCCGATCGGCCATTGACACGACCAACGAGGAGATATCCACAGCCATCGGTGACTCTGACGGCTTGCGGGAAGAAGTTCCTGCGGGTAGTTCGGCGCCCGTCCTTGATGACGACGTGCACAAGTCGGTGGGTATCGTGTCAAACGAGCAAGCTCTTCAATGTTTGCAGGTGATCGATTTGTTTGTTGTTTCTCTCTCTCTCTCTCTCTCCCTCTCCCTGCGTACATATGAATCCGAATACGGTGCCAACTCCACCGGCATCCCACCCGACCACCTCCATCGCCACTTTCATCGCCGCGATCTTCCTGACAAAATGACGTCTGACAACTACAGGGTGTGGGTGAACGACGACCGCATCATCGCCGAGGCCATGGGCATTCGCGAGCCAGTCTGGTTTATCAAGTACGAAGGGTCTACCATTCCCTTCATGGACCCTCGCACTGGTGACGGTCGTTTGGGTGCCCCCATCGCGCGCGACGAACATGAGCAGGACCAGTACTGGCAATATGACTGGAATGGTAACGGCAGTCGTCAGAGGTACGATGGTACCTAAGAACGGCCCAAACGAATCTCAACAGCCTTGAGACATCGGCGGGACTACGGTGACATCTGCCTGGACAGGAGAGTAAGCATGGACCAGAAGATGCCACATTGCAGGACGTTCCGCGACATTGGGAGGTTCATGTTCATACACTTCGAGGATATCAACATTGAGTCGCAACCCTCTTGGATCACCGTTGCCGCCAGCCTTCGGGCGGCCGCAGCCCACGGCGAGGAATATGACGACTTGTGCGATTACTTGCCATACGTCCTGTTCCGCTGCTGTCCGTGCCACGCTCCGCACGCATCCAGGATGCAAGTCTTCCCTCCCATGAACTGCGACACCGGCAGCTTCGACTGCAAGCGTTGCGAAATCGTTGCAGTTCGTGCAATTGGCGGGCACTCCGTCGCCGTGTTCAACTGCACACCATTCCACATGGGCAGAGCATCTTTTGAGGTCGCGGACGCGCGCTACTTTCGCCATGGCGCAACGCGGCATGTCGTGCGATCTACGGCGGGGCAAAGCATCATTCCAGGATTTTAAGACGGTGACCGTTTATAAGACAGTCCGTTCAGAAACATGCTGTTCAGCTCGCTGTTCCATGCGCGGACCCTAGACGAATCCTTACGCCATGACCGCAACGCGCAACCTCGGGGGCCCCAAAGCCACATCGACATCGTGTTCGTCATTCGTGTTGCAACGGCGGCAGGATGTGCATTTTACCTTGATGACCGAGGCGCCGTCATGACCGGCGGTGGTATTCCATCCTCCGCAATCGCACAGATGCGCGAGGTCAGGTGCGGCAAATTGAACTGCCCGCAGGGGCGGCAACCTTGCGCGCGCATGCCTCCGACCAACGGTCGACCGCGGACCCTCTTCGAGCGTGCCCTTTGGAATGCTCCGCTCCAGCAGGCGAAGCCCAAACGCCTTGCCGCGGCCGCCGCGGCCAGGCCCAATCGGCCTGCCTCACCGTCACAGCCGGCGCAAGGGCGTTAACGCGCCCGACGCGCCCATGGCACCCGCGCCCACGCCAGTCCAGGCCCCCTCCCGGAGGCACGCCCAAGCCTTGCGAGGCCGCTACTGCAGCCGCGCAGCTTATCCTTGCGCCCGCGCAGGAAGACGCCACTCCTGAACTGCGTATTGGCATCCGGCAGGAAACTCTTGCATGCTGCAGCACGCAGCAGTTGCCCATGTGCAATCGTACTGATTGATGAGCTTCCGCAGAGAATGTGGAACAATAGCCCGCCGCCAACGGTTACTGTCGGAGATCACGCTGCCAGTGCTTCGCGGGAGAGGCGCGTATATTTGTTTCCGCCCATGCGCTCATCCAGGAGCGAAGTCACTCGCAGACGTCTGCAGAGCCACACATCGCGGACCCGTCGGCAAGTTTCAAAAAATGCTTCGGCTACGCGGCTGTCTGCACTCGGGGCCCGATCAGCATATTGAGCGAACCATTCCGCAATGCCAGCGCTGGCGTTTGGCTGCGACGCTGCGCTGGGACGCAATGATTGGTTTTCTGCGAGTACAGCGCGGGCGCCCACTGTCTCCATGGACCCGTCTCCGCTCGCCGACAAGAATGCCGTCGAGGGCCAGGGCGGGCTCGAGGGGCGGGGCCACGCGGAAACCGACCCTGCCGCGACCCAGTGAACACCGCAGCCAGCGGCAGCCGCTGCCAACGAATCGATCCATGAAAAGTAAGTTAAAATTTCATTTTCCCCAGCGGCCGCCGCTGCGGTGGGCGCGGCAGAGATGCCGGTGCCGTCGACCAGTCCAACGCGGGAGCTTGCACCGACTTTTCTTGACCCATGCGTTGAGGTTGTGATATTTGATGGCGAAGCGGACCCCCCCCGTCGCGGGGTG